AACGGCAGCCAATAGGATTTGGGGCGCGCTCGGATTTTCAGCCAGCCGGGGAGAATCGGGCTGAGGTGCGCCTAGGGTTTGCCTCTTCGAGCCGAGCTTTCCCAAAGCCAGAGGAGAGCCGTGAGCTCCTCTCCTCTGTCCTACTTCAGAGGGGAACCTGGCCCAAAATCTGACTTCACTTTTCCGCTGTTAAAAAACAGCAGGAGCCGAGAATCCGCTCGGGGAATTAGTTTTAGGAACCGGAAGAGACGTAGAGCCAAATCCTGAGAGGGGCCTTCGGCGTGGCCACCGAGTTAGGCGCCCGATGGGGCCTGCGGGCGCAGGCGCACTGGTTGCCAAAATCGGACGGCTTCGCGCCCTTTCGCACCATCTCGGTCCCTCCAGGCCTATAAAACAGCTCCCCTTCCCCTCCACCGCGCTGCTTTCTTACGGCGGCTTCCCGGCAAAGGAGACCCTCTTTGGGGCCTGGTCGCTCACCCGCAGCCCTTTGCCGGAAACGGGAGCGCGACTCGAGAGGTCTCCGGAGGTCCTGCCGCGGTCGTTTCCAGACACTCAACAAGAGGGCAGGGCCGGTAAACACCGGACGGCCAACCGGCCTGGTAGCGTGGGGAGACGTCCGGCTGGGCGCTTTGGTTGGCGGCCCCAGAGCTCCGGCGGTGGGGAAGGAAGGCCCCGGTTTCCAATGTGCCACGATTAGTTGCCCTAAACCAGCCGCTTGGAGGCCGCCGCCCTGCAGCCTCACCAGGGTGCAAAGGCCCTTCCCGGCGTTGAAGCTTTGTGGCGAGCTGCGCCGGACGGCACAGGCGCCCTCTCGGCTCCCGGAGGCGCTTCTCCGGGAAGGGCGAGGAAGGGTTATTCAGCGGGGCTCCTGCAGCGATGCTGGAGTTGGTGGAGCGAGGAAGCGTCACGGAAAGAAGCGGGCCCGGCTCGCCTGCCCTTTGAAGCGCGGAGCAGCCCTGAATATTAAGGCCTGAGTGTATAGCCCAGCTCCGGTCCTCCAGATGTCTCGACAAGTTCCGTATATTTTCAGAGATCGTGGCCATACGGACTGAGAATGAGGCCGTTGGGTACAGGGAGACTTTAATCTGCAGTTAGGAAAGGACGCCGTCGGCTAATTCCCCAAGAGCATTTTCTCTCTTGCGTGATTCTCCTCCCTCCCGCATATAATGCTGTA